ATAGATAGGGGAAGGAGGGGCATACTCAACAAACATTGAAAGCTGAATAGGAGCTTATTCATGCACAAATATGCTTCTTCTACTAAAAATTGGCTTCTTCAGCTCTTAATCAGTTTGTTGGGTAGTGAGCTCTTTGGATTTCTTAAACAAACAAAATAATTGGTCATTAATCATTAAAATGGTGATATTGAACCTACTACAAATTAATTTGTTTCGAACAATAAGAGGTTTGGGGCTGAAGTGCGGGATGCTCATTATGCCCCACCATCCTTGTACCAATCGATCAGAAATATTTCTACGCATCGATAGCGGCTCCGATTGTTATTTTTCGACACGAAACTATCGAAAAAGTGGTAAATGTCAAGCATTTGCTGCTTCTCTAACACTGTCATCAGAGAAGTGGCATTCGCCTCCGATTTTCGGGCGTGTACGAATAGGGAGGATGCAATTGCGTAAAATTTTGCACACTTATAGCCATATTTAGAACCACACGCCCCCAACGACCACACAAAATGCTCTCCAGAGTTGTAATCTTGTAACCAAACTTGGAAGCAGGGGTGCAAGTGATTTTGATCGATTCTCTTCATCGACTTTCTGTTTCGTTAATAACTCGACGGCAAACAAATTAATTGATACGTTTGTTGTTCTGGATTATATAAGTGCATAGCAGAAATTGTGCGAAATAGGTTAGTGTAGCCAAGGTCATCAAAAGAGGAAATCTATGAAGCTAATTTATGTTCACCCATCTGTTTCTAAGCCCCTTAATTCAGTCGTCGTTATGCCAATGAAAATTAGCATCGCACCGCTTTTGGTTCTTGGGTTACACTTGCTGGTTGCAATCCTGCTCTTCGACATTTTCGAAGGACCATCAAAAACATGAAATTACACTTTTTTCTAGGGATGCCTAAAAGGCCAATTATTCGATTAACGATTAATCGTTAAGATTTTTCCAGCTATTCGATTAAATATTTATCGAATTTTCAATTATTCGAGCGCGTAATCCCGTCCAGCAGCAGACGGGCCGAGCCGCTTGCGAGTGCCCAATCATTGAACCGAAGAATATGGGATTGTCCGGTTTGAATTTGCAGATCCAGCTGCCTACACGTCATCATCATCTTCTAAAGGCTACCATCGGTCCTTTTCAGGGTCACCAAGACTTTCCAAAAGAGTTTAATTTCTGAACATGTCGCAACTAAAATTCATATCAAAAGGTTCATTTCAGGGCAATCATAGAGAGAGCCCCGCTTAAATTCCATTTCCTATACAAAACACAAGCTCCTGCTTCAGTTAACAGATAACATTTATTATATAAGACCACGTAGTCCTACGTCTCCATTGCATACAACCCCATAGGGCTGTTTCTTGTAGTTTTTGAATGTAGTTGCGCCTAAATGTAGACATTTTTTTTATCACAGAAAATCATTATTTTCAAACTTTGCAAACATTTTATTATCTTTAAAAAAATGCAAACATTTTACCAATGAAAATTTTTACTTTAAACTTAAGGACAAAAATTGTTCCAACCCTAATTCGTTTATATACTAGGCTCAGTTGTTTGTGATACTTTGCGGAGCCATAAATCAGTAATGTTTGAATTTACAGTTTAAACAGCAGTAGTTCTTCGATTGGGAGGAGCTAGGTAGGAAACTGGTTTCTGAAGCCTCCTTCTGATACTACTCTCCGATGGTTGACCAAATCCTGGCTGGGCACAAGTAGCACAGAAACAGGAGGATAATAAGACTGGGACACAATGTCTGGAAATTGTTTGGAAAGGAGGGGAGGGTCACATCAGACAAACAAAGGAATTCGTAGATCACCTGCATGTAGGGAAGATCACGAATTCCCAATACATCTCTTACTTCACGGAAGGGTTGTCTACCTCGGGCCACTAGGGTATCGTGCTCTGGAGGCGTAATTACCCGGGTAATGCCAAACTGCGTGATTGATGTCATCATACCCTGTTCTGCACCTACATTTATTACTGTCAACGAGGTTTATTCTGTAGAGATGTGCGTCTAGCGAGTAGTGGTTGGATATAAGTCTTGACATCACGCGAATGAATCCGTGACTTACGTCCAGACCTTTGAACCACTCTCTCGGAGAAGCATTTGGAGTAATGGAATGTAACCACCGCCCAAGAGAATTGCTTGTCCAACCGTTTTGCCAAGTTAGAAGAGAACTATGACGCATTAATGGGAAAAAATACTCATGTGAAATTCTTCTACCATAAATCTCGCCCACCTGTACGAGAGGGTCTGCATTCTCATTGCCTGGGATTGAGCAATGTGAGGTGACCCATACAAAGGTAATCATATATGATCTTTCGACCAGCAAACTTATCTGCTCCCTTTATAAAAAAAAAGGAAATACCAAGGACTACGGAGAAGTTTCATGAACAGACTGCGGGAGAATAAAGTAAGATCAGAGAACTTCAATAAAATGTTGGCCATTTCAATAAAGTTTCCAGAATGTCAAGGCAGTTCCATCAGCTTCAAGAAAGCTGCAGAAACTTTTTAGAAGTCCAAAGAACTTAAGGAAAGTCAAGAGAACTTTCAGAGCGCTGCTCGAAAACAAAGAGCTCCTCGAAAACAATGGATACTTTATAGAAACTCCAAAAACCTCAGACAAGCTAGGTCTAGAAATCTTCAGTAAAGCACAACGGTCTTAAGGGCAGTCCCAATTACTTCAGGACAGCTTCATGAATTCCAAGAAAATTTCGAGAATCTTCAAGGGGTCTGAGCATTTCAACGAAATCCAGAGAACTCTCGAGAAATTAAGAAAACAACAAACATATTTTGGGAATCTTACAGGTGTCCAGAAGTTTTCAAGGAAGAGCTTCATGAGAATTGCGTGAACTTTCATGTAGCTTCGAGAGCATCAGAGATGATTAGAGAACCTCAGTAAAGTTAAATTAACTAAATAGAATCTCAGAGAATTTTTGAAAACTTCAACAAAGTTCTGAAATCTTCAGGGCAGTCCAGAGAACTTCAGAGATCGCAACTAATATTTTCAGCTTTATAAGCCATCTTTTCCAGCATTGTGCTGTAAAGTAGCTGAAAAAAGCTGCAGATGCAGATACAAGCAGAAGCTAGCAAATAACTTTTGGAGATCGTTTATTCAACTTTTTCACAACCATTATTCAATTTGTCAGTCGTACTGAATAACAGCAACCAATAAACAATAATGTCACTTCTATCGAAGACAACATATCGAAAAGACTGGCAACTTTGCCTGAACCCGAGCGACAGATACAATAGCGCTGCGCTCGAGCGAAGGTGGAAGAAACGCATAGAAAAATGAGCAAATGCACAAACCTTTCTTCTGAGGATGGATCCTTTGCTATCCAAATCGTCGGAGCATTTACCTTTAACCGGCAGATGACGCGATTGTGCCTGTCTCATGCCGGTCGTTTGAGAAAATGGAAGAGTTGCCAGTCTTCTTGATATATTGCCTTCGCTTCTATGCAAATATTAATAAACTTTAAACTTGCAGTTGTAACACAAAGCTAATAAAGTGCCTTCCCGTTTTTGGCAACACAACCTCATCAACTAATTCTTTCTTCAATTTTGGGCTAGCACTTTCTGGGAATTGATTCATGACATTTCAAGTAGATAGGATCCCCAAAGAGGGGTCTAGTGATATCAGAAATGAAATTAAGTGTTGTATGTGAAGAAGACAAAAATCATGTGTTGCCAAAAACGGGAAGACACTGTATATTACTCATTTGATGGTTTCTATACATCCAACCTCTTGCTGAATAAATATAAACATCAAAAGTGTTTTTTCAACAATTAAAAAACCTGTACTCAGCTAATAAACTGGAAGTATTTTTAAAGTCACCTAGGTTTATTTTTAGACTTCTGAAGTTTTACAGCATTTACTCCGCTCCTTTACAAATCTGAACTAACTAGTCGAGAAAAGTGTTTCATGTGCACTACTATAAAGTCTCTACTCAGCGATCTTGTTGTAGAAGGTCATTTAGATTTGTTTACATCAGTTCAAAGTGTTGGCTTAGCGAAGTTGGTAGTGTAAATGTTTGCCAATACGGACACCTTGAATTCGAGTCCAGGTTCCGGTGCAAAGCAATAATAAGGTGGTGTGCTTATAACTAATTTCGAGTAATTTGATTCGCAGCTAAATAAAATCTATATATTCCTCCATCAAAAAACGAAAACAATATTTAACCCGGCTTCAAGATAAAACTGTGTATTGATTATTGGAAAATCGGTAAAAGGTTGGATAAGCACCTTTCAAGTATGCACACAACTAAACAGCAGAATAACAGCTGTATAGAAGCGTAACTGGAAATGCAATAGAGCTTTTTGACGTTTAATCGGCGCACACTACTGCACCATTTAAATCGAACAAGTGCGAGCAAGAGGGAAACAGATTAGTGGAAAAACAAACCGTTAATTTATACATGTGTGCTAGATAGAGAAAGACGATTAAACGTCAAAAAGGTCTATAAGAGCTTGTCACAACCGTCCCAACAGCCATAAGTAGCTAACTAAGTTCGCCAGATTTCCTTGTAATAGAGGTTGAGTAAAGCTTAGGGCCCATGCATTAATTATGTCACGCTGAATCGAGCAAAACATTATTCTCTCCCCCCTATCGTGACGTTTTTCCTATACCTAATGCATTGCTTGTCACAAAATCTTAGACCCCCCTCCCCCCTTAGAGCATGACATAATATATGCATTAGAGAAGTTCTAAGAACTTCATGGAAATGTAGGGATCATTATCATGGAAGAACGAAAACTTCTGGCACACAAATTCCCAGAAGAGAGCAGTGGGTGGTGCTGTCCATTCACTGCTTTGTCTGGGTTATTTTCCAGCCGATTAGGCTTTTTTATGTGCTTACCATGTGTCCCCTAAAGAATGTCAACACAGTTGGTTCTCTCGGAATTAGTATCAATTATATCAGTGTAATAAAAATATATTTGGAAAGGGTGTCCTACAAGCTAATAATAAAATTATCTTCTACGTTTGCTTTTTTTCAGATGCAAATCCTTCCAAACACAGAAGCGCGGAGAGATCTGCCGAATACCGGGATGTTCGGTTTTGCCAACCGCCTCCGGAACGCCTACACCGATTCGGCTGCCACACATCGAACCGGACATCTTCCGTCAGTTTATTCTGTACGTTTATACGGCAAAGGTGAGTCGAAACTGGAACTGGACTACTTTTACGAGGTGCGAACAACTTTGTTTTTGTTCCATTTAGATCATGCTACACGATTCGAAGGTGTTCGAAATGATGACCTTGGCCCAGGACCTGGGCGTTGATGAACTCAAGATTGCCTGCGAGGAACACGTGAAAACCACCATGTCGGTAGCTAATGCGTGCACGTTCCTCGCAGCGGTAATGGAAATTCAGGAGAAAGCGTCTGGTAAGTGATTCGTTTTCCGTTTATCTTGTTTTCATGTCTTGATGTAATCTCAGAGATGTTAGGGTCAGAACCCCTGATCCTATACTGTCCATACACCACGTGGACAGGTTTTGAGAGGATTTAGACCCCCTTCTTCCCCTGCGTGGACAACATTTGTTGTCAGGAAATGTATTATTTGTCTATAAAAAATTTAGTGGAGAGCAGCCCACCAAAAATATTTTTGAATACTGGAACCCCCGGTAATCTGACCGTTATTAATCTGAACACTTTTTAATTTGAACCCCGCTAATCTGCATACCGTTCAAACTAAAAATGGCTCAAACGTCGTTTTGCTCATGGAATGAACTAAAGCAAAATGGAGCATTGTGAAATGAAACGCAGAATCAAAACAAACCCTGTAGAGTCCTTTTTCGTGTTACACTTCGCAATTTCACATGTAAAAATAATAAGGTCTCTGTGTATGTACGTAGCTGAAACTACTACTTGTAGTTTGCTGCGGTGAAGCAAGGTGATTCCTCGTAGAGTTCGTTTTCCATCACACCTCGCTATTTCAAGATCTACGAGGTGTATACATCTGAAAATTTCAGACATTCCTTGCTTCACCGCAGCAAACTACAAGTAGTAGTTTCAGCTACGTACATTCACAGAAACCTTATTTTTACATGTAAAATTGCGAAGTGTAACACGAAAAAGGACGCTACAGGGAATCACCTTAATATGTATTAAGTGTCGGTCAAATTAACGGGGTATATTGACCAAACTTCTGTCTTAAATTCTGATATATTAAAAATTCCAAGTCCATTTCGCGAATATTTCACTTTGAATCTTGAATATTTCTTCAAGTTCACAGTTGAGTTCTTCAAGGGTATTGAGGTAAATGTATACTCGTAATCTGCATTAAAAATGGATCCTAAACCCAAAATTTCATCAATTTTGGTACACTGGAACTATTTTAAATATGTACAATTACATTTGCAAAAAATCACCCTATTAGCGCCCCTTGGTGTTACTTTGTATGGGAGCGAGCTTTCGGTTTGTCAGTTTAGTGTCAAACAGTGAAGTTATAGGCCTTTTTAATAGAAACTAAATGATCGATTCAACCTCTGGTGGCGAATAGGAGAGCATAAATTTTTGCCTTGAGACATAGGAAGCGGAACACTTTTTTACTTTTCCTAATAAATTGATTCATCTGAGATGCTGCAAAACTTAATCTACAGCTGAAGAATTTAATTCTGTAACGTTTTTGCAAAGATCCTGCTGGTGTTCAGCAATATTTTTGTTGAGAAAAATGGAAAATTTGAAAAGTGCCTTAGTGGTTATGATCTTCAGGATTTCTTGTGTGTGAATAGTTAAGATGCAAATCAGTTCAGATTTGTGGAAAATTGTACAATAAGACAATTACCGATGGAAATTGGCAAGATTTTGAATGAAAAATACTGTTATTTGCGTTGTGGGAAATACTTATTCTGATGTAAACAAACGGCTTGGTTGACGTTTCTTCTCGAACTTGCGTGGCGCACTCTACGTTGGTGGTGCATTAAAAAGACGTATTATTTTGCTTTAAATCTTGATTTAAAAATCGAGATGAAAGCAAAGATGAATACTAAGATGAAACAGTCGGAAGAAAAACTTTGCATTTTAGTGTCCTCCTTCACGGTCCCTTTCATCCAATGAATACCCCCCGTATGCAAGGTAATTTTGTGGTTTTCCTGCCCCCTCGGTAGAGATGAAATTTTGCGCTCTTTTTTATCAAAAACAGTCACACCAAAATCAGAGATGTCCCATTTTTTTTTTAAATTATTCGATTAACGTCTAATCGATTATTTTTTGTTCGCTGTGCTGTCATTTTTCCACCAATGAGAGTGCAGCATATGTTTGAAACGATGGGTGATTATCCTCTGCTGAGGTTAATGCTTATATCAGCATGATATAACCGATTACAAATATTTTAATTTTCTGTTCGTTAATCGATTAATCGATTATTCGAATGAAAATCGGCCATCACTAGATGAATGTCAAACGTCATTTCAAATTTAAGGTCGTACATAAATAATGATACAATTTGAAAGGGACCGGGGCTTATCACAAATTACGTCCCCATGGTAACTGAAATAAACACGAGTGCGGACCGGTTGATGAAAGTGTGTGGGTTCGAAAAAAAATATCGCTGTGCTCAGAAAACGAAGCTCTTTCAGATGATATATAAAAACCGATAAATTTTTCAAAATTAAAGAACCCAATTCTAAACTTTTCCTGTTCTTTTAAATAAAAGCATTTTAAGATTGCACTCGTATAGGCCTTTTTAATGCACCACCAACCAGTGTTGGAAAAATCATTTTCAAAAAAAGTTCTATCACAGCTCATTGCAGAGATAAATCCCAAAGGAACTTCTCACAAAAAGTTCGTGAACGAGAGATGATAAAAAGTTCATGAAAGCGTAGAGCGAGAGAAATTTTCATTTCGTATCGCGAAAGATCTTTCGTCTCTCCATCTCACATCATTTCACACGTACTCGTGATTCGAACCAACCAAATATCCCCTCAGCTTTGTTCTTTTTTTCCAGCGAGTAAAGGTGGGCGATGATCACGCGAGAGTGTCTGTTTGTTTTTTTCTCGTTCTCCGATATTTTTCGCATCCTTCACATTAAATACCATTTCCAGAGAACTTTGAGATTTGGGCGTAATTGCTTTTGTAAACAAACACGTCATTCAGCGATTTCTCACGAATCAAAGCACAATCTAGCGAACTATACTATACCAAATGAATCATTCCTCTACCTGTCTGTGTTGTTAGTTTTTTAGATTGAACTTTAATTCACGAGAAATCGGCGAATTAAGTGTGTGTTTACAAAAGAAATTACGCCCTAATCTCAAAGTTTTCCGGATTTATTTATAGTTTTAGTTCTCAACGCAACCAGCTAATAATAGATACTTGTAACCAGTGCTGTAAATTTTCATATCATTCGATTGAAGATGAACCACTACAACCATTCACAGAATTGTGTAAACGAATTCTCACATGACCATAATTTGAAGAGCCCCTTTCTCATTCGAAGCTCATTGTCACTGTCAATTGAGTCACTCAGTATCATTTGATATACGACAGTGGAGTATGGAAGAAATCCAGGAAAATGGTCCCGAACAGACAAGTCGACCCGATGTCGGATCAATGTAAGGCTAATTTAAGGTCGATGTCGACCCAATGTCGTGTTAATGTCGGGTCAATTTTGGGTTTATGTCGGGTCAATGTCGGGTCAACATCGGGTTGGGGTTTGATAGAAGTCAGGTTGGTGTCGGGTTGGCTTAGCTTTTTCGCCGGAATGTCGACCAGAGCTCCGTTTGTGTGTAGGTTACACTCAATCGAATGATATATAGCGTTTCTCAAATGAGAATGATCCATGCCTTCGTCAAATGACTAAGCAACTGATATCACCCATTCGGAGGAGGTCCCCTTTGATAGCGAATAGCTACTTTTCTAATTTTCATCAAAAATGTTCAAATGATTTTGAGAATTTACAGCACTGGTAATAGCACAGTGAAAAAGTTCACCACCACCTATATTCCCAACCATCCCCCTGCATATAGTTATTGCATAAGAGCTTACAGGAACGATATTACGAACACTAGTGATGAGAGGAACCATGCATTAACTGTATTTCGTGAAAATGAGGATACATTAGGCCCTCCTCCTTCCGCAACCCCCTATCCTGAGGAACGGTTTTAATATAAAAATTGCTAGTCACAAAATCTTACACTACCCTCCCCGTTCCTCGTTAATGTCGCGGTGACACTTGTGCTGATTCATTCATTTTTTTTGCCAGAAACCAATGCACCAATCAATCAGTTGCACAAAACTGTTCACATCATCCTGATAACGGCTACTTTAAACAACAGGCGCCAGTAGACAGCCAGGTACCAGACTTATCAGTCTTTAGAGATTGTATTGATTTACTCGGGATAGCTTTCTGTCTATAATCTTTCCCTTGTGAAATGTGCAGTGCAATTTTCAAGAACGAATGTGGTGTAAAGAGATAGAGAGAAAAAATGATCTGATATTTTTCGTATCCTCACGTTGGTGATTCGAGTTAAAAAAGTTCGCGATATCTCATTCTCTCATCCCAGAAAGTTCGCTCAGGAAATATTGGAGTGTGAAACTAGTGAGGGAAAGTTCCCAAGAGAAAACGTATCGCAAGCGAAAATGATATTTTGGTGAGAATTCCATCACTGCCACCAACGTAGAGTGCGCCACGCGAGTTCGAGAAAAAACTTTAACCAAACCGTTTGTTTACATCAGAATAACTATTTTTCACAACGCAAATTAAAGCAATTTTAATTCAATATCTTGCCAATTTCCATCGGTAATTGTCTTATTGTACGATTTTCCACAGATCTGAATTGATTCGTACCTTAACCATTCACACACAAGAAATCCGAAAGATCATAACCACTAAGGCACTTTTCTAATTTTCCATTTTTCTCAACAAAAATATTCCTGAACACCAGCAGGATCTTTGCAAAAACGTCACAGAATTAAATTTTTCAACTGTAGATCAAGTTTTGGAGCAACTCTGATAAATCAATTTATCAGGAAAAGTAAAAAAGTGTTCCGTTTCCTGTCTCACGGTAGAAATTTCTGCTCACAACACTCTTTTTGACGTTTTTCTATGCATCACCAGAGTTTGAATCGATCGTTTAGGCGTATACCTCACCGTGTAAAATTTTGAGACCATCATCACTCTCATAGTTCTTCTATTCTCCACGAGTGCCAACTTTGATTTGCCAATCATGCAAAACAGTGGATTTTGAAGGTTTGAATATCGTTGTTTATTAATTTATTCAATAAGGCTCAACCGAATTAACTTTACAGAGCCGAGGATTCTTGTTTACTATAAAATACATCTAAAACTATAGTCAAAAGGTACAAAACAATAAACATTTTATCTTCCGCTATCCAATAAGCCTCCTCCACCAGAACGGGAGCCGGTTCCAGGGGTTTCATTG